AATTACCGATACTTTACATACGCAGCTCTACTTATTCGTTTACTACTATTTTTACGTCGTAAATCACTATGCCAACCTTGATTGCCATACGGATAATATAATGGATAAATCCATGGTTCTACATTTGGATCCATAGTGCTAACTTGTTGCAATGTTTTAGTGTTTTTATTATAAATAGTGACATATGTTTCAGGAATTTCGCCATCTGCTGTAGTAGAAAAAACAGCTGCAACTTCATTTGCTCTTTGCACATTATATCGGCCACGATTAATGCCATTTTTAGATAAAAATCTTAATTGTAATTCATGTATAGTTTCATTTCCATTTCTATTTTGCTGCTGATTTTGAATTTCTTCGTGGATCATTCGATTAGATTGTGCAAAAATATTATTTCTACGCATTACATTATCTATTAAACGTAAAAGTTCTTCATCCAGATTCGAATTTTGATGCAAACGACATTCTGTCGCTTCATTATTATCTACAATGAAAAGTTGACCATAACTTGGCGTTTCATTTGGTGCAGGATATAATGCAGTATTAATTTGATAATAAATTTGTCCTTGAACTTTGAAACAATATGGACCACGTCTTTGTGCATTAAAATTTGTTATATTTGCATTAAACGATGCAAATGAAAATATATTGTTGTAACTACGAATACGATCATAGAAATGTTTTGACTTGAGATTATTTCCAGTAAATAATTCATTAAGTTCTTGTGGAGATTGGGCTAGAGGACATAACTCAACAGTTTCATGGCTACAACAATCATTAAACGAATTATCTATTAGCTACTTTTTCAGAATTAAAATGTTTTGCACCGCAATGTTCACAACATACGCTCATTTCTCCTATATAATGTTCTATAATATATTCTAATTGAACAATGTGAGGTGTATTAATGTCCATATATCCTTTTCTCGAAGCTCGAGTTCTTCCAATCAACTTTGCTTTTCTATTTTTATCAATGACATTAGAAAATATTGATTTTGATTTTACTGTTTTATCATCTGTTACAGTAATTTGCGATGATATTTCATGTACAATTAATTCTTTGGATCTATTATCATCTAAATTTATCATTCTATTTGATGTACTGGGTATGGAAGAAATAATATTGTGGTTTAATACAGTTTCCATAGTTGAGTTATGTGATACTTCATTATCTTCATTACCTATTATTTTCGAAAAGTTTGTAGAAGTTTGTATTAAATTAGGACAAATCTGATTGGCATTTGATGATAATAGGCTATCTTTTTTTGCCATCATGCGTTTTACTTCTCGTCTTTCAGCCTGAGATTTTGCTTTTCTTTCTCGTTTATTACGCTGATATATCTCTTCTTCTTCAAATGTTCTAATTATTTTTCTTCGAGGCATAATTAATTATTATTTAAATAATTTAAATTTAATGAAAAATTTATGTAAAAATTTACTTATGTAGTTTTAATAAATATTCTAGAAATACTTTGAAAATCAATGTTAATACCGTAATAAAATTAATTTACTTTAGAATAAAAATTAATTTTTTAAATAATGATTTAATATCAATTTATTTTAATACTTTAGTATTTTCTGTATTAATATAAAATAATCTTTTAAAAATATATATTAATATATTTAAAATCAGTTTTACATTAATTCAGTTTAACATAAATTTAAAAATTAAAATAAATTACAATTCAATAATTCAAATAAAAGTTATTTCTATCCAACAATCCAAAATATAGTAAATTTCAATTTAACAATTCAAGTTAAATTTCAATCTAACAATTCAAGCCAATTTCAATATAACAATCAAAGTCAAAGTCAATTTCAATCCAATAAGCCAAATCCAATTTCAATAAAACACACAATTCAAGTCAAATTCAATTTCAATAAAACAATCCAAGTCTAAACCAATTTCAATCAAACAATCCATGTCAAAGCCAATTCCAATTCAACAATACAAGTCCAAACTAATTCAATCAAACAATCCAAGTCAAAATCAATTTCAATTCAACAATACAAGTCAAAGTAAAATTTAATACAACAATCACAGTCAAAGTCAATTCCATTCAAACAATAAAAAGCAAAGTCAATTTCAATTAAAAAATCGAAGTTCAAGCCAATAGTAAGAATCCAATAATCAGAATCAATCCAATTTTTCTCTTAAAAAAAGCTAATTTTAATTAAAATTGATTTTAACTTGAATTAAACAATTCAAGTTAAAATCAATTTTAATTGACCATTAGGAGACGGGAAGCCTATTTTTAGGTTACACGGGAATCACTTATTTTTTATAGTATATAATACTTTAACATAAATATGAGAGTTACAAGTAAAAATCAGAAAAATTATAAAAAATCTACCCGTCCTCTAAAAGTTAAATAATTAAGGATTCCAAATCAATCCAATAATCGTAGTCGAAACCGCGATTGAAATTGAACAATTCAAATTAGAGCTAATTTTAATTTAACAATATAAATTATGAAACAAATTTTAATTCAACAATAAAAAAATCAGATTCAAAAGTAATTAATTAATATAAAATCATGACTAATTTGAATTTCATAAAATCAAATTTAGTTGTTTAAAAATTAAAGAAATTTCTATTCTGAGATTAGTCACTTCTTCTTATATGTTTTTGTTTGTGTTATATTATATATTGAAATTTGAAATTATTGTTGTAACTTACGTGAAATACTGGATTTCTCGGTGATCATATATACATATATATATATATATATATAAGTAATTCGTGCACGTAAAACTCCTTGAATTGTTTTTCTATATCTGTTCCTTTGCTTCTTTACTATAATATGCAACATAAACAGATTCATTAATAAATAATCTAATGAAAAGTGATGCTACAATTTAATCTTCTCATTTCAAGGAATTTACATTAGTGATGATTTTCAAGTAGATTTTAAAATTACCTTCACTTCTTAAGGAGGTACGACTATTACTTGTGAGTCAAAAATGCAACTGAAACAAATGTCACTACAGCGATCCCGAATTAGATGCAATATTAGTGTAATGAATTATGGATGCTACTTATGTGCTGCATTCTTCGTAAATTATTAGTGCATAGAATATTAAGAAATATATGTGAGCGTCAACGACTCATCGAAAATACATTTGGCAACGTTGCGCTTCAACGTTGCTAAGAAACGAAGACGCACGGCATATCAACAGCCAGGTAGATATATGTATAATATAATATTCGATACCTGTCAACGTACATGTATGTATGCTTTATTTACAGTGTGTCCCCCAAGGGGGATTACACTCTCTGTACAATATTGGCGCTTTTTAGGAGCGTACCCGAACCTTTACATAAACACGCCTTATTCCCGGCCCGACCTGGGCCTTACTTCTCCTTTTCCCCTCCTCCTCTTCCTCCTCCTCTCCTTCACACCTTCCAAGCTTAACCTAACTTATTGCTATAGACTTATGCTCTAACTTATTTTCTAGTTTGTCTTATCGTACCCGACTGGGGCTTTGGAACGGGCTTATTCCATTCCTCCACTCCTTGCCGCCTTACACACACACACGCTCTGCGTCTAACGCCTGGACTTCCGTTTCCTTTTGCTTTCCATAATCATTGTCTCTTTATACCGCTCTTCCTTGCTTGATCCCCTTTTCTGTCACACTCACCCATGCTTTCAACCATTCATTCAATCAACCCCCTCCTCCTAGCCTCTCCCTCCCCCTCTCCCTCTTCCCCGAGCCTTCTAATTTCCTTCCGCTCCCTCCCTCGTTATTCCTCCCCCTTCGTTTCCTCCCACCTACCCCTCTCCTCCTCGACTTTTCTCATCCACCATTCCCCTTCTCCCTCCTCCCCCAGCAACCAGCTTGCCACTTCCTGCCAACTCTTTCTTTCGTCCATCCATTCTCTACAATCTTCCCACACGTGCTCCCATGTTTCCTTCTCACTCTCACATAACCTACAGCAGACTGCTTCCTCTTTCTACCAGTATCTATTCGCCCTCATCTCATCTCCTAGCCTAAATCTCGCTACCCTGCTCCACCTATTCTCCTCCCACCCCTTCTTGAGGTAGCTCGGGATTCCCTCGCCTTTAATTAATTTGTAGCAGCTGTTATAACTAGACTCCCTTATTCTTTCCCACCTCTCCTCTTTTTGCCTTTTTCTGTCCTCCTTTATCAGTTCTTCGAACCATTCCTCCCCCTCCTCTCTCTTTTCTTCTATTCTCCCCAGATTCTCCCCCCTTACCACAAGGAACTCTTCCCTCTCTCTCTCCCATTGTGAGCCCGTTTTTCCTAGTTTAGCTCTTTCCCTTATTTCTTGCAAACATCCTCGCGCTAACCTGCTCCCCCCTCCTTCCTGTAGCCTTCTTTCAAACCCCCATGCTCTTCTCCCCGCCCTAACTCTTAGTTTCTCCCTTTGTAGTTCCTCTCTTAATAGGTAACCCGGAGTCCATCTACCTACCCTTAACAACCATCTCAAATATCTTTCTGCTAGACTTTCTAACTTATCCCTCTCTTTCCACCCCCATATCTCAACTCCGTATCCCATCACCGTCCAGACGAGTCTGTCAAAGAGCCATAACCTTCTTCCCCAGTCTTTCCCGAATCTCCTTTTGCCTATCCCCCATACCTGACCCATTATCGCCGCGGCTTTCCTCACCCTCTCCCTGATGTGTCCCTCCTGTCCTCCATTCTTTTGTAACTTATAACCCAGGTAGTTGATCTCTTTAACCTCTTCTAACGCTTTTCCCTTCCACCTCCAAGCTCTTGTCTTTTCCCTTCCTCCCCCCTTCCTGAATCTTATGATTTTCGTTTTCTTATCATTAAGTTCCAACCTTTTCCCGTCTAAGTACTCTTCTAACCTCCCTATCATGCTTCGCATGCATTCTTCGTCCTCGGCCATTAGGATTATATCGTCCGCATATGCAAGGGTGTATATTCTTTCCTTATTTAATAGGACTCCCCCCCATTTCACCCTCCCCATCTTTTCCTCCAGGTCCGCAATCAGTATATTAAACAGCATCGGACTCAATGGGCAGCCTTGCCTCACCCCTCTTGCCGTCCAAAAACTCTCGCCTGTTTCCCCGCCTACTCTCACCCTATTTCTCGTTTCCCCCAAGACCTCCATAATTCTTCCTACTAATCCTTCTCTAATCCCCCTCTCCCTCAATGCCTCCTCTAACTTCCCTCTATCCACCGAGTCAAATGCAGCTTTTAGATCGACAAACATCACTGTCATTTTTCCTCCTTTCTTCTCTATCTGTCTATTTATTAGATAATTTAATACATAGATGTTGTCTATAGTCCCCATACCTCTCCTAAATCCTGTTTGGTTTTGCGGAATTATTTCCTTTTCCTCTACCTCCTCTTTTAACCTCTCCGCTAAAATTGCCATATAGATCTTGTAAATGGATGTCATCAACGTGATTCCTCTATAGTCCTCTACTTTTTCCCCTTCCCCTTTCTTAACTAGCGGCACTATGACCCCCTCTTTCCAGTCTTCCGGTATACCCTCCCCTCTCCATACCCTATTGCAAAATTTCCATACCCACTCTTCCAGGTCTTCTCCTCCGAATTTCCACACCTCCCCCGGTATTCCATCCACCCCCATCGCTTTCCCCTCCTTTATTCTCTTAATGGCATCATTTATTTCTTTTCTGCTTATGTCCATTTCTTCATCTACATTAATCTGTCCTCTTCCCCCTCTGACTCCCCTAACTACCCTCACCCCCACGCCACCGAGTAGTCTTTCGAAATATTCTCTCCATTCCACCATCCCTATATCCTCGTTTATTCTCCCTCTTTTTTTCCTCTCCCTATTAACTATTTCCCACACCTCGGATTCCCTTTTAGCCTCCGTTACCCTCTTTTCCCATTTGTCATTGTCCTCTTTCTTTTTCTTTTCACATAATTCTTTGTAAGCCTTTTTCCTTTCTTTATACCCTTTCCCCTCCCCCCCTTCTTTCCTCCAGGCCCTCAACTCTTTTCTCACCTCCCTTTTTGTATTTTTACATTCCCCATCCCACCACGATCGTATCCCTTTCACCCTTTTCCCCAGGCGATTTTCCGTCTCCCTTAGGGCTTCTTTCAACCTGCTCGCAACTATTTCCCATTCCTCCGCCCCGGACATCCCCTCGTTCCCTTTTCCTATTCCTACGAGCTTTTCCCTAAGTGCCTTACGTCCTTCCTCGCTCCATACTCCCCTGTATATCTTAGCCTCTTCTCCCCCTTTGCTATTTTCCTTTGTTCCTTTGATTTGCAACTCCAGAGGGTGGTGGTCAGAATCTACCTTATCTCCT